GGGCTGATGAAGAGTCATGTCATTGCTGCTGTGTTTGTTCCCATTTTTTTCAAGGTGGGGCTCAGCACCATCAGAAGTCCTATTAAACAGTGAGCAGCAGCTGTACCTCTGTGTACAACTGTTGGTGTCAATAGAATGGCACGCTAACGCTCTGCTGTGGACGCTGCTTAAAACACGCGGACACAACACGTGAGGAGGCATGTGAATTCAAAAAGAAGATGCTAACGTTAACAATAAATAGGTGAGAAAGGACAGGACTAGGACTCAAACCAATGACCTTCTTGCTGTAAGGCAACGATGCTGTGCTAAGTAAACCAGGATCTTGAACCCACAGAGTCAGTTTCTATTTATATTTGCACATAAATACAGACATGACCAAATTTGCACTCGGCACATAGTTGTCCTATTATGTTGAACTGTGTGACTTTGTACTGCGTTGAATTATAATTACTGCATTACTTTGTGTTGTAATCTGTACATTCTGATTCTGATCAGTGGGCCTTACAGCACCTGGGGTCATTTATGGAGTTTACTCAATAACCCTGCACCGGTTGGAATTTGAACATGGCCATGATATTTAGCCCTAATCGCTCCCTACTATTAGACAATCCACTAATAAAGTTAGATGAAAAAAAAAAAAAAAAAAGGATTTGCAACTGTTGCTTATTCTGTCAATGCGTAAAAATGTGCTTAGTGGTGATTATTACATTTCCAGCCTTCTAAGTTAATCGTAATAACATTACCAAACACACATGCTAAATGAGCTAATCTCTCTTGTGAGCTCAGTGAAAGAATAAACATATATAATGCATAGATTGGCTAATGCATGACTACATTGCCAGACAACATGCTAAAACAATTAGCAGATATCAGTGATCACTGATATTAAAGCACATAATGGGAGGAGTGGTCTCACATTCCTTTCATTAGGAGCCCTCCTGGCATTGCCCCTCCCATCTGGAATACGTTTCAGAACAATAAAAAAAAAATTAATAAAAAAATAAACAAAATCACCACTTGTTGACAGTGAAAGTAAATCTTGAGTCCACGGTAGCATAAAGCTCTGAAGGTCAGTCGGGTTATTGAACAGCTCAGTTAACATCATTTAGAAATGATTTAGAAGAAATCTTCTCCCAAAAAGGGATAATGGAGAAGAATATCAATATTAATGACAAAACACCGAGACCTCATTAGACTGAAGGTCATGATGAGCTGAGGGTCCAGAGATTGTGTATTTAGAGGGGAGAAGATAAACTAAAGCCTTCACCACTTCTGACGAAGGAGAAGAATTCTCAGGCACAGGCGATGGAAATGACTGGTCTGGGTTAAAAAAATCCTGCTGATCAAAATGTTTGAGAGTTCAGTTTATGGTCCGCCCTCTTGAAACATTAGAAAAAAGGAGCGACTTGCCCTTGAGTTTTGGGCTTAAAAAACATCTCATGCTGCACAGTTTGCAAAAGTTACTCTCGACCGGCCTGCGTGCAGTTGAAATCTGCCTCGAATTAAAAACGTCTGGTGCATGATGAAGAGGATAAATCGCACAACTGTGACCATGGGCTACTGAGCAGGATACTGTATTACTGATATTACTGATACTGATTTTGGAACTTGTAAAATTGTTGTAGAACAATAATTATCCTTGAATGATTAAAGGGTAATGTAATAAAAAAAAAAAATGATGAAGGGTTACCATAGATAAATTACAATTCAAAGTCAAAAATAAAATGAAAAGTTTGTTGTGATTCACTGTGATTCATTATGGCTGTAACGTAGCTTATAGCATATATGGGGAGTACAGTAGTGCCTCGCTATTTCGCAGTTCATCTTTGGCTTTCTGTGTTGAATTAATGGTATTTTATTCTATCTATGCAGAAAATGCATTGACTTAACCTAGTTGATGGGTTTTTTTTTTTTTCGTGCTGTGATGGTGTGAATGACTCTTATATCAAACAAAGACAAGTCAATACTTGCTCACGAATTCACAATCAATAGTTCCGTATTTAAATCCTCAATTGGCCGGGCTTCATGAAACAAATGATCGGAGGAAAATCTGAAGACTGAAGAAAAAAAGTGTGACAAAAACTTGTGGATAAACTCACGATTCAATCACCACCTCCAACAATCCCGTTGAAAATCGAATCCAACTTACACAACTTTCCCGGTAACTGCAGAACCTCAGACCACGATCACTGACGTTGCACTGACGCAAGACTGACGCAACACCACAGAACCTGCTGTGAACTGCGCACCTTGTCATTAACTCTCTGAATGAGTCATCCTCTATCTACATTTAGCTTTTTTTTTTTTTTTTCTTCCAAATTTAATTTACAATAATGTAAAGAAGACATAACAAAAACAATCAGTTAAGACAATTTTAGCTCATGTCGTAGAGGGATTTTTACTAAATGAGACTGAGAAAATATATAAGTGAATCACTGACAAATGCATTTTGTGCAATCATTAAAACCTTAGTGGTGCATTTTGTTAAATATCTGATGCATTCAGACCCTGCTGGGATGGTAATCTCGTCACTACTGCGGATGACACTGGTTTACGTGTGGTTTGAAGGCTGAATGTTTCTCCTCGTGACTGAA